CGGGCATTGTCAGTCTCTTAGCTGATTCTTGTGTTTGCCAACTTTCCACACTTTAATATGTAAACAGATGAGCCCTGGTGGCATAATAAGTGTTGGGCTGTGTATCAAAAGGTCAGTGGTTCAAATCCGTCAGGCTCTTCACCACAGGAGAAAGGTAAGACAGGCTCCTCCTGCGAAGATTTTCAACCAATAGTCTCCACAGGTTGGAAATGACTTATTAGCATCAGAAAAGAAATTTCTACTTTCCCGTGAAGATGAATGGGAAGTGGACATTCAGCTGCAGAGCAGCTGATGGTAACTGGTCTGGGGTCGTCTCATGCGGCCGTTCACTGACGTTCCTGTGTGGCAGCTGAAGGAGGTGGCTTTAAAGGAGGGGAAAGCAAGAGGCCATGCTCACAGCTGGGTTAGTTCAGTCTTCTACGGCTGTGTAACACGCCCAAGCGCAATGGAGCCAAACAACATTTATTTTGCTCACACGTCTGCAATATGGCTGAGTTTCCTGAGGAAAAGTCCCCTCTGTTCCCTTGGGAGCCACTGAGGGGCCACTCCAAGCCTCATTCCCTCTTCAGTCTGGCAGTTGATGCTGGCCGATGCCACTGGGACACCTCTACTGGGGCCCCCGTATGACCTGGGCTTCCTCCCAGCATGGAGGTTAAGTCCTAAGGGCATAGAATCAGGCCCAAGTTCTATCACCTTTAACAGCCTAGTCCTGGTGGTGCCATGGAGTCGACTGTGACTCCTAGTGCCCCGAGTGCGGCCGATCTGAACCTTGCCCTATTCTGCACCGTCCTCCTGATGTGTCACGCTTGGCCCTTGTGATAATCACTGTGTCAGTCCAGCTGCTCTGGGGCTTCCTCTCTCACTGCTGTAGGCGGTCACCACCTATATATACATAATATATAAAAGCCAACTCGGTTCAAGGAGAGGACCAGAGGCTCCACCTCTCCATGGAGGAGTGTCAGCGCCTTAAGGTAAGGAGACCATGTGAGACAGGTAATTATCATGGTAGCTATTTTAGGAAGACAGCCTCACAGCTCTCCCCGTGAAAGCCCCTGCAGGCCAGAGCCTATTCTAGTCAGTTCTATGACATCTGCACAACAGCGGTGAGTCTTAACCCTGCTGGGCTGCTGGGTCTCCAGGCCCTCTGGGAAGTGACTTTCTGCTAGTCATATCTTTGAAGAGCAGAGCAGTCTGAGAACAGAAAAGTTTAGAAAAGGAAGTCTCAGTAAGCAGAAAGTTACTTGGGGGGGGGGGAGGTCCTAGCCCTTCAGGTCTTCTCTCCTGACAACTTCTGGGCTGTCAACTTCTCTCGGAACACAGGCCCTTGGCTTGTTGGGAGAGGGGGTGGCAGAGGAAGAAGGTGGAAAGTTGTGGACATCCAAGGACACGGAGAATCACTTAATTGCCAGGTTCTCCTTTTTTTTAAAAAAATTTTTACTTTATTATTTTTGTGTGAGTGTACTGTCAAATCAGATCTGACTGGTACAGGAGATACCCCTTCTCCAGCAGAGCATCTGGTGGATTTGAACCATGCGCCTCTGGGATTGTAGTTGCAGCTCCTTACCACTAGGCCACCAGAGCTCCCCTTAGGTTCTCCTTCTAAAAGCTTCCTTCGTCAGTCTCTCCCATAACTGAAAATATTCTAAAAGCAGATCCTTTATCACACAGGTACTTAGAGAACATACACCCCAAACCACTGAAGGGTCTATTTTAAAAAGATGAATTTGATGCTATGAGAATTATATCACAACAACTCCTCTATTTTTAACAAATCACAAGACTAAATCTGTGACTTTGTAACATAAATACGTGTGTGCCAAGAGAGGCACTGTTTGACATTTTTGTAAATCTTTTTACTGTCAACACGATGGAGAAAGCACATGACGTCTTCCGATTCTGAAAATAGTGACTGGGGTTTATGGACTGCATTTCCAGTCTCCTTAATCTCCTAAAGTCCATACAGCCATGGGAACCCAACAGAGGGCCACGGTCAACCAGACCTGAGTGCATGGCAGTGAGAGAACCTACCCTAAAACCTGAAAGGCGCACTGGTGGTACAGCGGTTAAAGCCCTTGACTGTTGACAAGGAGGTTTGAACCCACCAGCTGCTCCAAGGGAGAAAGGTGGGTCAGGCTGCGTCCCTGAAGACGCCAAGCAGCCTGGGGAGCCCTGTGGGCGGCTCAGCTCAGCCCCACCGGGAAGCCATGAATCAGGACGGACTTGATGGCAGTGGGGCTGGGTCTTTAGAATCAACCTTATTGCCTTTCCTGACAGTTGGATCTCCTACTCTCTAAGTTGTTGTTGTTGTTGTTGTTAGTATTGTCCAGTCGAGTATGACTCCTAGTGACACCATGAACAACAGACCTGGACCCTGTCCGACCCTGTGCCGTCCTCACAATCTCTGACGCACTGGAGCCCATTGCTGCGGTCACTGTGCCACCCCATCTCCTCGAGGCTCTTCCTCTCTTTCACTGACCTTCCCCTAGCATGATGTCCCTCTCCAAGCATGTTAGGTGTCGTCGAGGCAAGAACGACTCATATCCACCCTGTGAACCAAAGCTCTGAACCCCGTTCCATGCTATGCCACCCCCACAAGGTGTAACAGGCCCAAAGCAGGAGAGAGGATGCTTTACCAACCGAGCCTCCGAGGAGCTCTCTGGGAGCAATTTTCCCAAGATATAGCTGGGGTTTGGCCGTCCATGGGATGTTCAGCACTCTTCTCCAACACCACGACTCAAAGGCATCAATTCCTCTTCTATCATCCTTATTCATTGTCCAGCTTTCAGATGCCTAGCAAGTACTGAAAAGACCATGGCCTGGATCAGGTAGACCTTAGTCCTCAGACATCGTTGCTATTCAGTATTTTGGAGAGGTCCCTGACAGCAGACTTTTCGAATGTAATATGTCTTCTGACTGCTGGTACCAAGGGTATTGATTTTGGACCCAAGAAAGAGGAAATCATTGATGATTTCAATCCTTTTCCCAACTATCACGATGTTGCCATTGGCCCAGTGGCGACCCACCTTGTCCTCTGAATGACCAACACATGGTCACTCAGAGTAGGAGATGCGACTGGCACAGCTCCTCAGGACAACGCCTCTCTGTGGCTGACTACTCCTGACAACATGCCCAGCGTGTGTGAGAACAAGCCTCCCTGTCCTCACCTACCCCTAAGGAAGGAGCACCCCAGTATACATCCCTCAAGACAAGCTTGTTCTTTGGACAGTCCGTGGCGTATTCAGTTCTCTTCTCCAACATCACAACTCGAAGGCATCGATTCTCCTATTACCCTCATCCATTATCCAACTTTCAGGGGTTTAGGAAGCATTTGAAAAGGTCATCGCGCCAGAGAATGAAAGCTGCATACTGAAGTGGAGTTGAGGGGAAGGATTGTATAACAATTAAAGAATTTTTCCTTTACTTTTCAAAGAGAAGAGTGAACTGGGGAGGAGGGGTGGGCAGGGAGAAAAGTGCAACAGTGAATGGATGGAAATCCAAAGTCTCCGTAAACGTTCAATAAAATTAGTAATAAGAAAAATACCGGGAAATAAAAAAAAAAAAGCTACTGTAAACTAACTTAATTCCATTTGTAAATTAAATATGGGATCAGATTGCTTGACTATTTTGGTTTTTTTTGTTGTTTTTTTTATGGATTATTCTTTTTTAATTTTTATTTTATTATTTTTGTGTGAGTGTACCGTCAAATCAGATCTGACTGGTACAGGAGGAGATTGTCCCTCCTTCCCCAGCAGAGCATCTGGTGGATTTGAACCATGTGCCTCTGGGATTGTAGTTGCAGCTCCTTGCCACTAGGCCACCAGAGCTCCCCTGTTTTGTTTTTTTAAAAGGATGTCTGCTTTTAAAGTTTAACTTCCAAAGTGTATTCTGCTCTCCAAATCTTCACTAACATCTTTAAAAAGTCATGAAAGAGTTATGAAAATATTTGTAGATGTGACATAAATAAATTGCATTATTATTTAAAGAAAAAACAAAAAGGAAATGTCACGGCTCGGATCAGGTGTACCCTGCTCTGTAAACCAACATCCTTCCTCCACACGTTGAAGCGGTCCGTGAGAGCAGATCCTCCCAATGCAGCACGTGAAGCAGAAAGCCCGAAACATGAAAGCCACCTTCAGAGCGATGGTTACCACAAGTACGGTGCGGGAAGGGCAGCGATCCTTGTTACAGACGAGGTAACCACAGCCACAGTCTGCTCCAAGGACAGCCAGCAGCAGTGACAGCTCAGTGAGGAACCCCTGGGGAGTACAGCTGAAGCTCTTGGCTATTAACCAGAGAGCTGCAGCTTCACATCCAACCAGCAGCACCTGGGAAGGAAAGTCTAGCCATGGTATCTGCAAACGCTTGGCCACGGAGAACACCAGGGCACATTGAACCAAAGTTCTTTTCTGACACATGTGGGTCACCATGAGTTGGAGCTACTCACCAGCAACCATCAGCCAACACCTTCAGGGGCCCCCCTGCACCGCACCCTACTTCCAGGGTGCCTTGTGTGCAACAGGACTTGGCAGCCGGCACAGGCTCCACCATGGAAGAAATTCCTGCCAGAGAATCCGGGAGCAAGTCCCACAGCATCTAACTCTCAACTCCAGACTACAGGTTCCACCCACAGCTTCTGACCCTTAGTCTTTAAGGCTCAGAAGAGGACAGGTGTCCAGCCCGCTGGCTGAGGACATCCATGTCTGCGGTCTGAGGGCGCAGGCCAGTGCCTGGGGGTCTGGGCGCTTGCCAGAGAATCTCCAAGAGACTAATTAACTCAGATCTAGCTTCCCCAGGGCATTCCCCACCTGTGAGGCTGGAGGACAAGAGGGCTTTAGATAAGAAGGTGACTAAAAAATGTCTTTCTTACTCTTCACTGGACAAGATCAGCAAAAAACCAAGTGGGTGAGAATGAATCCTATAGTAGTGAGGGCATGAGAGACAGACCCTGTCTACACGTTCAGGGGCCCTGACTTGTTGATTAAAAAATGATCCTAACCTACCCACCGCCTCAGCTGGGCCCACCTCCTCACCCGGGCCGACCTCCTCGGCCGGGCTCACCTCCTCAGCCGGGTTCACCTCTTCACTTGTCTGCTCACAGTCCACTTCCTCACGCAACTCACCTTTCAGAGACAAAACCCACGCAGCAGCCCCTCCCACCCCTGCCCCCTTGGAGCCCTTTCCTTCCAGAACCTCTGTCCCTCCCCACTTCTCCTTGCCCATGTCCATACTCAGGTGGGCCCGAGTGGGAGTTGGGCCTGGGTGAGTGTTTGCTGCAGAGGTGAGGCGATTCGCTTCTCTCCCCTCCTTGGCTGAGTCAAGCCCAGCGTTTCATTCGAGTAGCAGCAAATCCTTCTTCTTAAACAGCCGCATCCTCTGTCCACCCGGTCCCCACTCACCACGGGAGGGGGCGATCCTGCAAGTCGTTCTCCACACGTGTGTGCGGTGAAGCTTCATCACCCTTGCCTCAAAGGAGCACTCCGGCTGCACCTTTCCAAGAAATATGTTTGATTTTTGGAAGTCCATGAGATATTCAGTGCTCTTCTCCAATACCACAGCTCAAAGGCCTCAATTCTTCTGTCAACCTTATTCACTGGCCAGCTCTCAGATGCACAGTAAGTAGCTGAAAAGACCATGGCCTGAATCAGGCGCACCATAATCTTCAGATTGACATTGTCACTCCTCAGTAATTTGGAGAGGTTTTGACAGCAGACTTGGTGGTCCTAAGGAACCGCAGGTGTGTAGCTTGAAAGGTAGGCATCTCCAGGTGAGGCTCTTGGACATCAGGGAGGTGGTCTTTCAAGACGGCCCCCACAGACGGTCACACACCCGGCAGGGCACCTGAATCTCAGAGCAGAGTTAAAGGCTGTGCAGAGGGAGCACGTGAAGGTACTTCAGCTGCTCCTGCAGGGTGTGATCTTGGGTCTAGAAATGTCCGCATCAGCTAAATGCTGGCTTTCCTGACCTCAACCCTCTCGGAAAAATACATTCATTCAACACAATATGACGAAAAGAAAACGGAGGCAGGAAAAACAAAGCTTGTCATTCAGAGCAAACCTAGTAGTAACCCAGTTAAAATCTAAAATAGCTAACACCTTCCCTTTTATTCCCTGGAAGAGGATGCTCTGGTGTCCTGGTGGTGAGAAGGCACACAGCAGTCTCAAGGGCGGTGGTTCCACTCACCCAGCGAGGACCAGTGCCTCCCCGAATGATTTACTGCCTCTGAAAACTCACCTGAGCACCAGCCATGGGCCAGCTCTGACTGACTGGACACAACAACAACAACAACAACACTCCCTGAGAAGGTAATCCTTGACACAGGTGAGGAGGTCCCCATATGCTAACAGAAGGGAGTGAGAAAGGTCCTTACATGCTAACAGAAGGGAGTGAAGAGGTCACATGCTAATAGAGGAGAAAGCTTGCAGGCTGGAGGTAAACAACCCATCCAACTTGTTAAGGAGGCTTGCCTCAAAACTTGTCACACTAAGGGAGCTCTGGTGGCCTAGTGGAAAGAAGCTGCACTGCAATCCCAGAGGTATACGGTTTGAATTCACCAGATGCTCTGCTGGAGAAAGAGGAGCAATTTCCTAGGGTCGCCTGCGACTCGATGACACTTAACAACAACAACCAGTCAGATCTAACTTGACGGTACACATGTTGTTGTTGTTGTTGTTGTTGTTGTTATGATGTGCTGTCGAGTCGCTTGCGACTCATAGCGACCCTATGTACAACAGCCCTAAACTCTGCTCTGTCCTGTGCCAATCGCACTGTCTCTGACACTCCCATCCCGATTATCCCAGTCACTGAATCAATCCACCTCATAGAGGGCCTTCCTCTCCTGCGCCATCCCTCCACCCTACCAAACATGATGTCCCTCTCTAAGGACCGGTCTCTCCTCACAACATGTCCAAAGTATGTTAGACGGAGCCTCAGAATCCTTGCCTCCGAGGAGCCACCCAGTAATAAAATAAATTTTTAAAAAAAACACTTGTGTCCCTTATGCCAAAAGGGCACGTCTCCTCTCCCCTTTTGAAAACCACTTTCTTGCCTGTTACAGAGTTGTGCCTGGGCCCACAGATGTGCCAGAACAGATGTGTCTGTGTTTAAAGCCATCTGCTCCGTGGTTTGGGGGTCTCAGCAGCCCAAGAAAACTGAGACAGGAGTGGGGAACTGGGAATAACATAAGTGAACGAATTACAGGTATAGACATCAATTCAAAAGACAATGTTGAGTTTAAGAAAGGTATGATAGTATTTGTTATTGTTAGGTGCTGTAGAGTTAAGTATGACCTATGGTGCCCCTATGAACTACAGATCTGAACCCTGTCCTGTCCTGTGCCGTCCTCACCATTCTCTGACACACTTGAGCTCACTGCAGCAGACACTGTCAATTCGCCTGGTTGAGGGTCTTCCTGTCTTTCGCCGACCTTCTGCCTTCCCAAGCATGATATCCTTTTCTAAGAAACAGCCTTTCCAAGCAACATGCCCAAAGTATGTGAGATGAAGCCTTATCATCTTTGCTTCCGAGGAGCACTCTGACTGTGCCTTCTCCAAGACTGATCTATTTGTTCTTTTGGCCATCCATGGGATATTCAGGACTCTTTTCCAACACCACAGATCAAAGGCATCAGTTCTTCTTCTGTCATCCTTATTCATTGTCCAACTCTCAGATGCATAGTAAGTAATAGGAAAGACCATGGCCTGAATTGGATGCACCTTAGTCCTCAAACTGACATCATTGCTCCTCAATAATTTGGAGAGGTCCCTGACTGCAGACAGTATGACAGTATAAGTGTATCTTAATTGTGTTAAAACAAAACCTTTACCTAGACCAGCAGGCTGTCATGCGAACAGAACAACGGAATACTGCACAGCTTAAAAATCCCTGAACACAGTATAAAGCAGACAAGGAGCCCTGGTGGTCAAGGTCTAGCTGCTAACTGGAAGGGCAGCAATTTGGACCCACTAACTCCATGGGAGAAAGACGTGGCATCTGCTTTGTGAAGATTGTTATATACCATCAAGTCAGAACTGACCCACAGCTGACCCTTCCGCGCTCTTTCAGAGGCAGTAAATTGCACAGGGGGGATTACCCATCAGGCTCCTGCAAAGCAGCTGGTGGATTTTTGTAAGGCTTGTCAACTCCTGTTCAAACGAAACCTAACCTAGACCAAGAAGCTGTTGTCTGAACAGAGCAAGGGAACACTACACGGTTTAAGATCAGGAAAGGTGTGCCTCAGGGTTGTAACCTTTCCAAACGTATTCAGTCTGTGTGCCGAGCAGATCATTGGAGAAGCTAGACTCTTTAAGAAGGATGTAGCATCAGAATTGGAAGAAGGCTCATCCACAACCTGTGCGTTATGCGGATGACACAACCCTGCTTGCTGAAAGTGAGGACGACTTGAAACACTTGCTGCAGAAGGTCAAGGACTGCAGCTCAATGTGGATCGCATCTCTACTTCAAGAAGACACAGGTCCTCACCACATGGACCAATAAGCAACATCACGATAGAAAAGATGGAAATTGTCAAGGACATCATCTTACCTGGACCCACAATCAATACCCTTGGTACTAACAATCAAGAAATCAAGACTCATGACACTGGGGAAAGTCCACTGTCAGGGACTTCTCCAAATTACTGAGGAGCAATGATGTCAGTTTGAAAACTAAGGTGGGCCTGATTCAAGTCATGGTCTTTCCTATCACTTGCTAGGCATCTGAGAGATGAACATTGAATAAGATCACAGAAGAAGAATTGATGCCTTTGAGCTGTGGTGTTGGAGCAGACACTGAATAATCCATGGACGTCCAAGAGAGTCAACAGATATGTCTTTGGAGAAAGTGCTTCCAGAGTGGTCCTGAGCAGGGGGCATCACGGCTGCGCTCCTGCCAGGGCCAGTGGACTCTGTCCTTCTGCTGTCCCTGCCCCAGGTCCATCTTGTGTGCAGACAGTCCTGAAAGTGAGCACTCGCTCAGTTGACGTGGTCTCCCTGGGAATTTAGGAGAAAGCGGAGACGACATAGACCCTGTCCCCAGAAGTGAAACAGGCCACCTCGCTGGGTCTCTTTTGTTTGCTTTCTGGGGCCACATTTTGGGTCAGGCAGGCTGGCCCCTGCAGGCCACTGGCTTTTTTCTGTGTCTGAATGGGTGTCCTCTGAGGGAGTGTGGTGTGGTGAGAAGCTTGTGCCTTATTGTGGGCTCGGACACACTGCCTTCTCCTGGACACTGTGTGAATAGCAGGTGGCTCCAGGGGCAGCCCTGGAATAGGTGGAGCTCCCCCACCTGTCTCCTGCCTGTGGGCACTTCCTGTTGGCAGCAGGGCAGTACTGTCCTAACTTAGGGACAACAACTTGCATTCTTGGAATCGCCTGGCGTGGAGGACAAACAGAATCAACCGTGCCGGAAGGAGGAGGACCTGAATGGAGGGGTAGACCACACACCCTTCACACGAGGCTGAGTGTCCACTCCTGCAGCCAGCTGTTTCCAGAATGTGGCCTGAATATTGCTGCTGCTGTCTCTCCTTGAGAGGCTCCGGCTCATAGTGACCCTGTGTACGACAGAAGACACACTGCCCTGTCCTGAACCATCCGCACGCTTGCCATTCTGCGGGTGCCCGTTGTGGCAGACAGTCCACCTCTTTGTGGGGGGCTTCCTCTAAACGTGATGTTCTTCCCTGAGTATATCCCACTTGACTTGAGGGACCATCTCAACAGACATTAAACAAGCAGACAAGCTGTGTGATGAATCCAGGGCATCATTCACGAAGAAAGCAAAAGGTCATTGCTGTTGTTGATTGCTGAGGACAACTTATAGTGACCCGATGACAAAAGGCCTGACGCCTTTCTCTGACTATCCTCCTTTCTCCACTTGATACAACTTCCAGAGGCATGTGGTTTAGGAAGTGGATGCCACTCCTGCTTCCCAACCTGAATCAATCTGAGAGCTCCACCAAACACTGTCCATGGACATTGGACATTATGGCATTTGACACACCTATGGTACAGGGTGACTCTACTCCGTGACCCTCGGGCCTGCCTTTAATTGTTTTTGGTGAAACATTCTTCTAGGTCGTGTAACCCTGGTGTGTCCACTTGCTGTACAGAGGTAACTCGAGGTTTCTGTGAAGCTGAACACTGTGACACTGTTGTGTCAAATATGATAACGGTTACCCATGGTGGACAGTGTTTGGTGAAGTTCCCCAATTAAAATAAACTTGGAAGCAG